ATAGCTATTTTATTATTTTATTAATGAAAAAAATATTCTTTTTAATTTGAATTCATTTTTATTTTACTTTCATTTTGATTTTATATTCATTTTATTTTCATTTCGCTTTTTATTTTACTTTTATTTTTATTTTACTTTCATTTCGTTTTTTATTTTAATTTCATTTTGTTTTTAAATTCATTTTACTTTTATTTCATTTTTACTTTTTATTTCACTTTCGTTTTGTTTTTAAAATCATTTTACTTTTTATTTCACTTTCGTTTTGTTTTTAAAATCATTTTACTTTTTATTTCACTTTCGTTTTGTTTTTAAAGTATTTTTACTTTTACTTTCATTTCACTTTTTATTTTACTTTCACTTTCGTTTTGTTTATAAAATCATTTTACTTTTACTTTCATTTTCGTTTTAAAAAAAAATTCTTCTTCATTTACTGTGCCATAGTGTCCAGATTATCCAGTCACACTGTTGTCTACCATCCAAGTGTTAGCAGGTGTTATTTCCCTTGAATGTGCTCTTCCGAGTAACCCCCTCTTTAACGGAAATAGCACCACATGTAGTGTTTTGGTGTTTTTTCACAAGTTCTTGTAGTTGATATTGGCAAAACCGTGGAATATTTAAAGGTACATACAAAGACTCTCCGAACATGTTGAGCTGTGGGTAGGCCTATAGTATCCCCAGATACACATTTTATTTTGTTTGTCGTCGAATCCAGACTTTTGCAGAGAAATTCGTCTAAGGAGAGAATTAAACTCCCAATATTCAGCATGCTTGCAAGGGAAATGGAGGCAGGGAAAGCTTGAGGTCGTGCAACAGATGCTGATGGTGTAACTGACAAAATATTTGTGTCGACAGGTTTATTAGTAGAAATACCACTACAAGAAGGCATATTCCTATTATGTTCATTTGTTGTGTTCATGTCAGTCTGAGAAGATTCAACGAATCTGATGTGAAGTAATTTAAATGATTTGATCTGATCAATATTTGAGAAAGATGGCCCTCGATCTCCTGCCATGATATCACATTTGTAAGATGGAATATCAAAATGTTTTTGACAAGCAGCCTTAATGCTATCTAATGACATCTCCCTGTTAAATTCCACCATTGTGAGGGGACCAAGACGGCGATATTTTTGACATTTACCCTCAACATGTTCTTAGAGTCTTTGAACAGTTAAATATTCCAAGGTTTCGCCATCACTAGTACCCTTGCCCTTTGCTTTCTACGTTTGGCAATTTGGGCCTTAAAATCTGTCCATTTTCGTTCAGACATATTTGCTCGGGTTTAAGGCCTACCTGTGATTTTGTGGTATTAATTATGAAGATTGAGATACTATTTTATCTCAAAATCTAAAGAACTTGTGACAAAACACTACATGTGGTGCTATTTCAGTTAAGGGGAAGGTTACTCGCAAGAGCACATTGAAGGGAAATAACTCCTGCTCACACTTGTATGCAATGACGTCATTGCTCGTATGATAGAAAGTGTGACTGGATAATCTGGACACTATGGCGCAGTAAATGAAGAAGAAATTTTTTTTTAAAACGAAAATGAAAGTAAAAGTAAAATGATTTTATAAACAAAACGAAAGTGAAAGTAAAATAAAAAGTGAAATGAAAGTAAAAGTAAAATTATTTTAAAAACAAAACGAAATTGAAATAAAAAGTAAAATGATTTTAAAAACAAAACAAAAGTGAAATAAAAAGTAAAAACGAAATGAAAGTAAAATGAATTTAAAAGCAAAATGAAAGTAAAATAAAAAACAAAATGAAAGTAAAATAAAAAACAAAATGAAAGTAAAACGAATTTAAAAACAAAATGAAAGTAAAATTATTTTAAAAACAAAACGAAAGTAAAATAAAAAACGAAATGAAAATAAAATGAATTTAAAAACAAAATGAAAGTGAAATAAAAATGAATTCAAATTCAAAAGAAAGGTATTTTCATGAATAAAATAATAAAACAGCTATGGCGCTCATGGGCCACCATAGATATCTAAAAAAAGTATAATAAAATAATTTGCAACAAACCTTGTTTATCAGCACTCGCATGGGCAGAGACAAAAGCACTAATTGCGGGATATGTTAAACTCGACATAGCAGCTAATGTACCAGCAGTCCATACAATCCTGTAATTATACATAACACATAGTTTAGCTATAAATCTTACGGTTCTTACAGCAGAATTTGTGAAATAATATTTTCAGAGGAAGAAGTAGCAAGTTTCACAGTAACCAGAATTATGTTAAAATTCTTTGACCTTTTGCACACAGATTTATGATTTATTGTTAATATTGTGAAGTCAATTTTTGTTTCTCCTTAATACCATAAACATAATTTGCTTGTTTTTCAGTTTTAAGGAGATTTTTCTTCATTCTTTATCAATGGCTCCTATTCACATACAATCCCTAAACTCTATTTTTAGACTATAATATATATATATAAATTTTAAAATTTGTAAATGATTCAACCAGTAATAATAACAAAACATACCATGGTTCAGAACCAAATCCATAACATGTTAATTGAATCATTTCAAACACTAATCCAAATAATATGGCATGTTTATGGCCTAAATATTTCATTAATAATGCTAGAATTACCGTCTGAAATGAAGAAATATAAATAAAATTATTACAGAAAAAATCGAAAATCAAGTCATTATCATTACAAGACCAATCAACATTTAATTTACAAAGTAATTTTGGTTTAAAATAAAATTTTATCAGGAGTAGATCTAATTAGCTTAAAGATGAATCTGCTTAAACATTCTGTACTCTGTACAAGAATATTGGAAACTGTGAAAATATAAACAGTAGTTCATAAAGAATTTTGTATATAAATACCTGGGCTATGACAGATAACACTCCTACTACAGCTATAAATGATGCTATTTCTTCATCAGAAAAACCCATTACCTATAAACAAAACAATAGATAATATCACACAACAGTATTCTGTGATCTATTTATTACTATCAGTATGAGAATTCTACTTCAAAGTCCATGGACACTTTGTAGTTCTTGGTGAGTAATTTGATACCATAGAACATGATGTTTTGCTTTGTGCCATTTGATTTCTTAACCTTCTTACAAAATGACAGTCTTATTAATGGCTTCTCCAGTTCAATGAGTGCTGATTTAGTGATTAGGGGAAAGGTAGCAAGTTATTAACCATCATAAGGCACTGGCACAGGGTTAAAGCAATGTTCATGAATGTTAAGGTTAATATGTTAATATGGAAATTCATACTCGTAGTCCAAAGACCTAAAAAACCAATAAGATTATCATTAAATAGTATCATTAATATAATTGATATTAATCAATATATCATTAAAAAAAACTTTAATTCTTGCACTGAATTTAGTGTTATCAGATTTATCAGAGTACACTAGATTATACAGGTTTTATCTTGTGATGATTATTTATGTTATATCAGAAGAATGTTGACTATTATATTTTCAGCTATTTCAGCTAAAGATATGATACTACCACAGATAGTATTACAGAGATATCCTTAGTTAACATATCTAATTATCTAATTAACCTTTAACTTGCACCTTGTTTTATCATAAATCTTTACTTTGTGACCTAGGCCAGTGCTTTCATGAGACTATGTTCTCATCACCATCTAACACTAGATAATACTTACTAATCTAAGATATACAAAGAAACAAGAATATTCTCCAGCTTCTGGTAAATAGGAAAGGAAAACAGTGATACATAACAATAATATTAAATTATCTTGACCTATCTTCTTTAAAGACTGAAATAAACAAACAATAAGTGTTAATAAATGTTAGAAAGGTACAATTTGCTGATGCGCATATTAGTGATCATAGAAAACTTCCTATTACATGCTTGCTATATCTGTATATTCTTTATGGTGGCAGGAGGTGTCTAAAAGAAAAGTTCAAAGTTGAAAACCAGGACTTATAATTTAACTTATCTAGCAATAAGAGTTTTATTATGTTATATTATGGTTATGTACTTACTCCAAAAGGATCTGCTTTGTCCCATGAAATTTGGGATCCCCAACTGGCAGGGCGTAGTTTTTCTGGAAGTGATTCAGGACAAGCAACCATTACAAATATAATATCTAAAATAGCTACTGCAGTGGCTAACCATATGACTATATTTTCACTATATACTTTCTGTAAATAAGCCCCAATAGCTGGACTTGTTACTAAGCTAGCAGCAAATGTAGCAGACACCTACAAGTAAAAAAAATACATAATAATCATTCTAATTCCACTACTAAAACTATGGCCCTATTTTCACGTATAATACTGTTTGGTTTATATGCACTATTCTGTAATGGTTAAAAGACGTCGCAGTGTAGAATTTTTGAAACCTTGGTTGTGGCTTCAGAAAACTTCTTTGACTCACTGAAATTTGAAAATAACAGTTGAAATAAATTTTGCCCCATTTTTTAGAATCTTTAATGAGGGTATCTCATTCAAATTTTTACATAACAATAGGCCAATTCTTACCAAACCATAGGCAGAACTACGTTCGTCTTCAGTTGTAACATCAGCAACATAAGCAAACACAACACTAAACGTCACAGAAAATATACCAGATATGGATATCATGGCAAAATACCACCTAAAATAGAAAAGCCAGTCAAATATAGTGCTAAGTTTGCTCAAATTTAGATTAGTGGATAACGACGAGTTACATATCGCAGTATGGGATAATGAGATAATATTTAACATTTTATCTTAAAAGTTTTAATATTTGTTGATTTATAACTTTATAACTGTAATATTTGATAATGCAGTTGATTAGAATGGTTATATAAAGTTACCAACAGAGTCAGTGAAAAAAATTTGTGATTCAATTCGCCGACTTGTAAAAAATTATAACTCTTAATGAAATGAGAGGTAACATCAATTAGTGATACATGACCTTGTGATACAATGTGCGTATTATGGCAAGTCATATAGCAATAAATCAATTCACCGATACATCATGCTACCTCCGTATCATGCTACCTCCTTTATTTTCATTATTTTCATTTGCTGATTTTTTTTAGAACAATTAGTTTTCCCTCCATTAGAAAATAGTAATGGTAATGGTATGTTTTCCCTCCATTAGAAAAAAGTAATGGTAATGGTATGTATGACAAATTTATTTAGATCGACTGTATAACCAAATCTAATTTTTGTTTTTGCAATTGACGTACATAAACTAACATAGTACTTACCATGGACTAATTCGCATCAGTGGTATAGGAGCACAAGTAAATGTAACAGTTAATAATAAAAATGGTTTGCGACCCCATACATCAGATAAAGCTCCTATTAATGGTGCACTTAAAAATGATAACATTCCCTGCAAGACAGAAAGATGGCTTGCCAGACAAGATAACATAAGCCCACTACCAGCTGTCATAAATGATAACAAAATCTTTAGTGGCCCAATAATGAATTTTAAAATAATCTTTAAATCATCTATAAGTCAAGACAAACACTTGGAACAGTTCATCAAATTATCATCAAAGTAAAACATGAACAATGTGTCATCGCTGTACACACAAGGACAATAACTCTGAAACCCTTCATCCGATTATTACCAATTACAAACGCAAGTGAGATCTCATCAATATATTCCTGCATACCTGGTTTCATCTAGATCTGATAAAAAATATAGTCTCTATCGTGCCTACAATGGAAAATTGACGTGTTTTTTAACTCAGTCAAGGGCAATAACTCAAAAATCATTCATCCGATTCTTATCCATTTCAAACTTGACTGAGATCTCTATTGCGCCTACAAGAAATGTGAACGGACCGACAGACAGACAGACAGGGGTGACGGCAATATACGTCCACATTTCCATGATTTTAAATGACAAAAGTATAAAATATTGTTTTATTGATCATGGCCCCATGAAAATATACAAACTGGTATTTATTCAATTCAGTAGAACACCTTTACTTTTGATTGATATAAGTTTAACCCAGAGCAAATAAGTATATCATGCCAACATAAAGGTGACAAAATGTCATCATAATGAAACAATTCATGATCAAGTCGTGAACCCTCATAATCGATATGGCATAGATGATTTTTCTTTTAAGCATTAATTCGTTGTAATTAACATTTCGATTTGCATGAGTAACCATCTTAAAATTCAATTAAAATAACAGTTAGAGGAAACTAAACCACCTGTTACCAACTAAACTATTACATATTATACAATATAAATAAATTGAATTATTATTATATATATACCTTTACACCTTGTATCAAGCCATTCATCAAAAATGTATGTTGTGGAAACGTTTCATTTAGAACCTGTAAAATTCAAATGATCTATATAGTGTTTAAATATAATGACAAGCTATAACTGTGATTTATAAAGTTTGTACCTGGATTTCTATTGTTATACTGAAGTGATTTATAAATTCTGTATTTGAAGGACGAAAAGCTTTTATCTCTTGACTTCAAATCTAAAGGATAATCTCAGGAACAGTCATGTTCACCATTAGAAATCAGTGTGTTATAAACAAATATCCCAGTTTGCTCTTACTCGTATACATATTGAGTATTTTTAGATGCCATTTACTATCATAGGCAACAGAGCATTTATTCTTAGAGACATATTTCTTAGGCCATAAAATTGGTGGGTTTCTTATTTTCAAAATAGATCTTTGTTCATATCTCTTACTATATTCCCCAACATATAGTGGATTAGTGAATGAATCCACAAAAACTTCAACCATGAATCATTTTTGCTCTTTTCTGATAAATTACTCTCTATAGCAGAATAGCTAAGTGTTTAACTTTAAATTGAATATTTTGTAAAGCAACTGATGCATATTTGAGAGCTTTTATGTACACAAATCAATAAGTTTCAACAACCATTATCACTTCAAGAATCATTTTACACGTTAATACAGGGCAGAATGTATTCTAGCTGATACAGTTGAGATAATTTGAGACCAATCAATTGAACCTATCACCATATTTCTTCCAAATACCCAATTATACAGCTTAAAATACTCACGTCTATAATGGGACTGGTAACTAGGCCCCAAGCAAAGAATTCCAGAAATATAATGACCAAGGCATGATAGACACTAGGTTGACTTATTCCTGATGCCTGAAATAATCCAAAGACAAGAATATATGGTTAAAGTCCTTGTTATAACATACATAAAAAAAGCCTGGAATCATTGAAAAATTATGCAAAAATGTAAAAGAGCATTTGAAAAATTTGGATTTGAGTGAAATTTGTCTTGAAAATGAATATTAAGGAAGTTAAATAACCCATTTCCTTGCAAAATATTGCACATATGCAATTTTCTTCTAAAATAGTAAATTAGTAAATATTCATATCAGATTATCCATAAGTGTCCATGATATAAGGTCAGAAGGCCCTAAACGTATGATTTAAATAGAAGGAAATATAAATATCAAGGAAATAAAAATTTCAATAAATTTACTGTAATGAAAACTTATCTAATGAATAAAATCAAAAGATAAAGTTTGAAATATGACATATGTATGATAAGATAATCTATATTTCATAACTGATCAATCGACACACAGAAGTATTTTCATTTGCGGCATCTGATAGACATAATATGAGTCCAACAGTATTTACTTGAGCCTCTGCATTTTTTGCAAGTATTGGTCATGTCATAACCAGGATGAAATTAGTTTTCAAAATCAACACAATCTATGTGTTTAAAATCAACACAATGTATGTGTTTAAAATCAACACAACACAATGTATGTGTTTAAAATCAACACAATGTATGTGTTTAAAAACAACACAATGTATGTGTTTAAATTTAAACTGCTTTGGCTGTCATTTGTACAAAAGTACTAGCAATTAGGCTCTTGCAATTTATCTAATAACATTCAAAAACAATGTGAAACTAATGATGTTCCAACCAACTGTCTATGCTATTAGCATTATAACCATGTAATTATATAAGTTGGAAAGACATAACCTTACAGTGAGCATAAATTTATCTGGAATATTATTGATCTTTTATCTTCTTAATCGACAAGTTACAACTAAAATAATTCTCTTTTTCCTCTGCAGTAGAAATTGACGTCACAGACCATTTCCTCTGTAGTCTGTCAACACAACATAGAATCTTAACATACATTGATTACAAATATTTCTATAACACAAGTAAATCACTGAGTATGCTTATTAAACTTAAGAACTTAAACAAATTATAATTGGGTTACTACAATGTGAAATTTGGCAATTTTTCAATTTTTGATCAACAGAAAAGGCAAACTGTAGTCTCAAAGTGAAAAATCCTTATCTAGAAACAGAGCGCTGGAACAGATTTTTGCTCCGGACTTGATCTACTATAAAATGATTAAAGGAGATCAAGTCCCAGAAGAAAAATTTACATTGTTTCTAACCCACATACTTGCTATGCATGAGGTTCAGATTCCTTTTATACTAAAAGAACATTTTTAAAAAGTCTAAAACGGTTTGACCCCACAAATGTCATAAACTTTCATCAAATGCCAGGCAAATTCCAGCTAATTTCTGAGTGGGCAAACATCACTGTTTATGGCTTCTAAATGTTTTAAGATTGCAAATTATCAATCAAGCTTGTTTGCCTATGTTTTTGGTTTGAAAAGTGTCTTCCTACATAAAGCAGTTAGGCCTAGATCTAGTTATTATGACACATAATGAATATGATTTAATGAGGTGTTATAAGCTGTGATCTATTGGGAAATCTAGGTACTGTGTAAATGCTTCATGGCATTTTAGTGGTAATAACTAGCTATTGGAAACATAAAAATCAATAGATACTCTGTCTACAGGCATTTTATAATTGGTATATTACCAAACCCAATGTCATGGAGTTGTTGATTTGGCTTTAAATACTTTCATGACATAAACCCCTGTTACATTACAAAAACTGTAAGTGATGAATTGTAATGTAAACAATCAAGCATTATGACTACCGTTCCAATTCTGGAGGTTTGGAACAGTTCTGAGATCACACAGGATAAATTTGTGTAATGTAAAGACAAGCCAGTCTCAGAATGCTTTATTGCCCATGCCCATTAGGCGACCTTCAACTTTTCCCATAATTCCACAGTTAAGCGTGCTGAGAATGGTTTAATTTACATACGATCTAATGTCATGTAAATAGTCACATTTTAAGCCTTGCATAAAGCTACATCAAGGAATTATAAAAATAACCATAAATCATGGTATTTTTCTCTCATTTAGGGTTTAGTCAAGAGATTTTTTATCCATATACCGATATAATACATCAGCTTATATTTATATTTTATCTTATATTTTCATGATAAGATAAAGATAGATTTCATGAAAAATGTTCATCAAATACCACTCCTTCAAGGAAACTACTGCCTGTAGTGCTTTGCTTTTATGTTTAAAAATCTTTAATTTGGTGTAGGAAACTTCCTTAAAACTGATTCTTTATTATCATCAATGAAGCCAAAAGAATGTGGTTCTAGTGAAATCAAGTGTCAAATTTTGTGGAGAAATTCCAGCAGTTGAAGTGAATCAATCATGAGAAAGCCAACGAATATTCAACTTGATGCACAGATGCATGAGCCTTAATCTTAACCATTGATGTAGTGAGCAAGTACTATTGTTACTTAATTTTGCTGGTCTTGGATTGATTTCTAGACAATATAATTATATTCCCTTAAAAATAAATTGCTAGATCAAGGGGTTGGCATTTTAAAGTCTTTTACGTCTGCTCATAAGATCATGATGTAGTATAATAAAAAAAATCAACCACCCCACACCTACATCTACAAATAAAAACTTCTACAAAATAAGCACAGAAAACCTTTAAAGAGACATTTCCCTTTTTTTAATCAATTTGTGAAAACTATACACCAAAATCTAGAGAAATGTATCTGAAAGTTTTAACTAAAAAAATCCAGCCGTTAACTTTTAAACATATTTTAAACATATTTAAAACTATTACGTAAGTTTAAGTTCATCATGCATTTTGGAAGCTGTAAGAAAACTACTGTATAGATTTGAATAAAATAATAGCTTAGTTAATGCCGTTTTTGATAATGTAAACTTAAAAAAAAAAAGCGGAATATCCCTTTAATATAAATATTAATAATATTTATAAAGCTAACTTTCCAGACAAGTTAACATACGCCCACTACCAGCTGTCAGAAATGATAAAATCCTTGGTGGCTTAATAACGAATTTTTAAATAATCTTAAAATCATCTATAAGTCAAGGCAAAAACCTGAAACAGTTAATCAAATTATCATTAAACAAGTCTCATCGCTGTACACACAAGGACAACAACTCTGAAACTGTTCATCCGATTATTAACAAAGTCAAGGGCAATAACTCTGAAACGATTCATCCGATAACACCAATTTCGAACTTGACTCTGAGATCCCATCAATTTATAGATGCATACAGTTTAATCAAGATCAGATAAAAACTGTAGTCTCTATCGTGCCTACAAGCCAAATTTGACACGTTTTTAAAAGTCAAGGGCAATAACTCAAAAACCCGTTCATCGAATCGGTTGAAAACCTGTAGTCTCTATAGTGCCTACAAGAAATGTTGACGGACAGACAGACGGACCAACAGACAGGGGCGATGACAATATACGACCATATAAAAACAGTTCATCAAATTATCATCAAATTAAAACGTGAGCAAGGTCTCATCGATCTACACACAACAGCAATAACTCTGAAACGATTCATCCAATAATACCAATTTCGAACTTGACTGAGATCTCATCAGTATCTACTTGCATACCAAGTTTCATCAAGATCGGATAAAAACTGTTGTCTCTATCATGCATACCAAAAATGTGAAAAAAACTTGACTTTGAACAGAAAATTAAAATGTTGCTGCTTGCAAGCCCATAACATTTTCATAATATCAAATTCTCTTGAATCATCTATGGTATTATAAATTTAACAAATAAAGTACCAAATCTACAAATTTAATAGTTGTTTTATACATGGGGAAGTCAGTAATAAGCTGTGACCTAGGCCAGTGCTTTCATTGAGACTCGTCTCAATACACCCTAACACAACCTTTTAGTTGTTTGTATAAATCTGATAGGGAACAATATACTGAACCAAACAAAATTTGACATGAAAATATCATATTAAAAGATATAGAGATGTTGTCTATATGACACAAACATGAATGTTGTTTCAGACTTAACTAACAAGATTTTCTTATTACAAATGGATTTTAATTTAAATGATCAACCTAAAATATATCTTTATTACAATTCAAATCACTTGCTTGACAAACTTATATTGTTAAATTTGTCTTCTACAGTGTAAATAGGGATCCAGACATTGGATCGACCCTATGGAGTGGAATTATTTGGAGCTTATACAAATTATTCATTCTGTGACACTGAATGCCAAAAGAAGGGAAAAATTTACTCTTTACACTTGAAATTAAATAATGTTATTTGTGATAATTGTATAATAAAACATGTGTAATCATTTTGTAATTTTAAATCTCTGATCTGAAATAACAATGTGGAGGTTCATATGCATATCTATATGAGAATTTGATATTATGAATATGTGACTAAAATTGTACAGCAAAAATAACTTTTACCAACTACCTTTCTATATTACTTCTTTATATCAGTTCCAATTTGTTATTTCGTCAGACAAACAAAACAAATTGGTGTCCCACATTAAAGAATAAGTGATTCAAATAAGCAAGAGACAAGCGAATCCACATTGTCTACACATTTTTGTGAATTTTGAAAATCATGGAGGTAAAGCTGAACATTGTTATTTGCTAATATATAGAAAGACAGTTAGCTTTAATGTAAACAAATCAATGGATTCCTTTAATCATAATATAAGCTTTTGAATTGAGTGCAAAACTTAGAGCATGGTGACATTTTCTAATCTAGATTTACATTCCATTGAGTATGGTGATATACAGGTAAGATGCAAAAACACTACTAATGGGTGTCTTAAATGTTTCTTGAGAGTAAAAGATAGTAGATTATTTGTGTTACACCTGAAAAATGTGTGTTGTAGTGGCAGGTCAAATTCATTTCAGACTCTTTTCTGGACTTTTATTACACAATTCACTGACAAATCCACAAGAAGGGTAAAAGTTGGTGAAATTTGCCACCATGCCTACACCAATAATTTTAAACCAGAAATAAATGATTAAAGGAGCCATTAACAAAATACCAAACAAAAAAAATACATTCCCTCTGGATTAGTTACAATGCATCATGCACTGGCATAGCATATGGGTTGTAACTAGAATATGCCTACCAAAAACATTTTCTTAGAGTAATTGTTCTTCACAATCAATAAAGTTCAATTCAGAAGTTGTAACACATCATTATTTAAAAGCTAAAATAAAGAAAAACATACAAAAAACAAAATTAAACACAATATTTACAAAAAGACATGCTATAAATTATATATATAAATTTATATAATAAATATTATTTGAATGCATCCAAAGATAGCTTGCCAGGCAAGGTAATATACGCCCAATGGCAGCTTAGATTTTGAATAGAAATATTTGGCAGAACAAGTCACAAAATGAATATTATACCTTCCGTCATACACTTCTTAAGTGTTTACAAGCTAAATATTTAACGTACTTTCAGGAACAAGGGCAATAACTAATACTAAATATTTTTCCAAGTTTCTGATTTTCAGTAGGGTTTATTCTTGGGTGATAATAAACACTCACAGCATGTTTCGTCAAAATTCATCCCAAATTTTACCTTCTAGAGTGTATACGAGCTGAAAATTGAACACATTTTCAAGAACAAGGGAAAAAATTCTTGCTAAATCGTTTTTGTTTCTTCTGGTTTTCATTAGGGTTCATCCTTGAGTCATAACAAACACTCATACCAAGTTTCGTCAAAATCCATCAATAATTGTGCCTTTGAGTGTTCACAATTTATCAATGTATCTGTGGGGATGTAAATAGAAATGATCTTTGGATATATAAGAAATGCTCATGTAGCAATATCCTTATTTATGTCGCTGAGAAAATCCATCTACATAATAATTATGATATTTTAGCTGACTTCTAGATCTAGAAAATAGTGTTGAAACAGTTAGTAATTTTGACGAACCCGGTAATTTTCGGCAATAACATTTCAATAACAATAACAATAACAAAACATTAGTCACTCAAGATAAAAACCAGATCAAAACCTGCAATTGCAGCGGTAACACAGTGATATCCGACATTATGAGTATTCTGACATTCTGTGTAATCCGACATATTTTTTTCGTTTGATTTCCCTGTTATGTCAGTTTTAAAAAAAAAACACCTGAGTACTCCAACATTCTGTATAAGCCAATAACGAATTACGCAACTAAGCAGTGGTCCCAACATTCAGAATATTTGTACAATTTCGACATCTAATCATCTTAAT